TTAAGTCCAGGTACTTAAACATCTTTTTATGTAGATTTTAAATAAAGATAATGACTCCATCATTTGCTTCCTTTCTTTTCATTCAGTCACGACTCATGACTCATTGTTACAACTCAGGTCTCTGGGGGAAATGCAGCAACATAAAAGTGGGCCGAAATTTGGCCATAAAAGAAGAAAGCCAAAAGAAAAAGTAATGCTGTATATTTTGTAAGCTATCCAAACAGGATAATGTAATGACACACAGCAACAATCTTTGCAAATGAATAAGTTGAGTCATTCCATGAGGACCGTTCAGTGCTCAACATTTAAAAGGGAAAAACGAGGCAGTATAAAACTGTTAATGTTGTTTTCAGTGACTTTAGACACTAATTTTGTTTATTAGTGTGAAGTAAAATAAAATTAAATAATAAAAGTGAAAATTGCCGCTTGCAGCTATATTTATATTATTATACTATTTCTAATATTAGAACTATTATTCCAGAAATTTGCTATTACTTCCAATGTAATGTCTCACTGATAGTGTTAAAAACACCATACTGACTCAACAAGCTTGACGACAGTATCCAAGGGGGGTGGGGCTAAGCGAAGGGGCCATTGACTGAATGTAAATAATCACTAGTTGCAGCCAGTGGCGTAAGGTAGTTACCACACGCCCCACTGCACACTGGTGTGCAGTGGGGCGTGCAGTGTTTGTAAAAATGTAGGGAGCTTTGCTACTTTTTCCTCCTCTTCGTTTCCTTATTGTCTTTTTCTTACTGCTGCTTCTATGTTTAAAAGTCATGACTGCTCATTGGACCTGCAGATGTGCTCAGCTAGGCAGTCATGACAGATTTAGCACCTAAACCAGCCCCTGTATTGTATCGTCTTGTCACATGATCAAATAAAGACTTGATATTAGGCCCAACAATCATCATTGCAAAAATCATATGACAAAAATATCAAAGAAAATAACGTCATTTAATTGAATTGTTTTTTATATATATATATAGTTTATTCATAGTTTTTCCAGTTCATGTAGAGTAAGCATATTATGTTGTTATAGATTGCCACTGGCTATTTTACCAAAAGAAAAGACAAGAAAATCATGACTGTGGTTGGTTTGTATTTTTGAAGGCACACAGCCTGTAGATAGCAAATGGCACCATTTTTTATTTAATGTGAGCGTAACCGCACTGCCTGCACTGTCTACATTTACGCCCCTGGTTGCAGCCCTACTTACACAACACTAGATTATTTTTCTGTCTCTCAACTAAACAATCATTGCAACGTGATTACATGAGTATCTGTATTCTAATATCCAGCAAAAAGTACCAGCTCCTTTGTTGGTTATCAGACAGCTGCAGGTTTTAAATGATTCTCTAAATGAATCAAAATATATGACACATACAGTCAGAGCTGCTGGTAAATAATCTCCATATGATAAAAATTAATGTGTCTGCTGACACAAGCATAATGTTTTTACAATCAAACATCTGTTAAATGCTAAAAATCTTATTGTTATTCTGTGTTGTAAACATTTGATTAAATAAAAAGGTTATTCAGAGCAGCATGAGAATTTACTGGAAATAAAGTTGGACCCTCTTCTGTGTCGTCCACTCACCGTTCCCGTAGATGTGGAAGGAGGGAGAGAGCTCTTTGGCAGCGATCCGGGCCAGTCGACACTCCTCCATGGCCTTCTGCGCCACTCCTTCAGCTGCCTCCGCCTTCCCACGAGCGTGGCTCATCCTGAACAGGACAGGTAGAAACACTGCAGTCAGACTGAAGCTATGATGGTTATCATTACTGCTTTGTTTGGTCCCTGCTCTCTGCTTTACCTTCATAACATCACATCCAGGAAACATGTTTAGCTCTCTGAACTTTCTGTGAATTGTTGATTCAGTATTTATTTCATTGTTAGTTTGGTTTGTTTTGGAAGTTTCAGAGAGAAAAACTGACTGACAGGGAAGCAGAGGAATTTAATTGAAAAGTAGCCTTTTAAAGTTTGTGACTCTCATTTTAACAACTAGACCTAAAACAAATACATATATTATACAGCCACATGTCAATATGCATTGTGTTTTATGATCTGATATCTTCAGAGGCGTTACATCCTGTAAAAGCAACAGTCAGATGCTAAAATCAGCGACGCTTTCAACAGATGTATTGAATACTTTCTGCGCCACAATCCAGAGCTCATGAGCAGAAGATGTTCACTGGTTATATTTCAAAGTTTTTATCTGATTTGTTTAATGTTTGAAGAGATTTGTGACCATTTTCTTTCTACTGAATTACACCCGCCAATAATAATGGCGTCCTCCTCGGCTGAGCTGTAACGTTAGCTACTGTAGCTCAGTGGTGCTAGGTGAGCTAGCAGTAGACGCACCCTTCCCTCTGCGTAGTGATACGGTTGGCATGTATATTTGGCAGAATGAAAATAGTTCCTACATGAAACTGCTCACAACAAGGTGTGTGGATTATCTTGAGTTACTGGGTCATGATTCCTAGAAAGAGACATTGATGCTGAGTTTGTCAAACGTATTTTATTTTTGGCACTTTGAGCACCACAAGCCGAGTCCCATCTAGTTCTATTATATTGGAGAGAAGGCAGACATCTGTACGGCCGATATCTCCAACACTCAGCAACTCACACCAAAACTATCCGGAGTGATACATAGCACTACAGGTAATTTTTGATTTGGGGTGAACTGTCCCTTTACATAAAGGATCTGGAACAGAGAGAACATGTTACCTGGACATGGCGATCTCAGCTTTCTGTTTGGAGATGTCTGCAGCCTTCTCGGCAGCCTCCACAGCGCGGTCCACCTTCTCTCTGATCTTACTGGCCCTCAGTGGGATCAGGTTCTTGCGTTTCCCGCTCACCAACACGTTCTGCTTGTACTTCCCCTCCTCCTTGGTGCCATCAGGGAATGTGGTGCATCCGTACCCGTGCCTCTTGTTTGCAGCCCATTCACCTTCATAACGCAGGCCGTCTGAGCGCCGACTCACGCCCCAGCCGGCCCTCTGGTCGCTCCGCCACTCACCAGCATACATTTCAGTGACAGTGGCGTCCACAGGAGCTCCCTGTTCGCTCTCGCTGGTATTAGAGTGGATGTCAGACGCAGCAGAGCTGACGGTGCTCATGCCGGCCTCGCTGCAGAAGGAGCTCTGCTTGCTGAGCTGACTGGCCAGTGAGCTTTTGGACTCAGAGCGCCGCAACTTCAGGCCGCTCAGGATGGACTGCCGAAAGCGGCCTTTCCTCTTCCTCTGGCGCTCGGCTTCACTTGGAGCCGTCAAGGCAAACCCACCCCGGCCCACGGGGCTCCCAGCCAGCCCAGCCACCACCCCATCTGTGGGTGTGATGGCACTGCCGTCCTCCAGCACAGCCGGAGGGCCGTGGCTGTGCTCGGAACGGAGGGAGTTTATGGATGTTCTCAGCGGGAAGAGGATGACGGCCGCCATGCCGTACGGTACACTCTGACGCACGCCATAGCCGTGACGCATCCCGCCCAGCCACTGGCCTTGGTAGGTTCCTGAAAGACAAACAGACACAGACAGAGTCACAGTTACATCATTCTTTTAATGGCAGATGCTATTTGCAACCAATGCTGTCCTTAGCCAATTCCTGGGCAACATCGAAATATGGCTTTAACGAGAACGGGTCTATTCAGCTGTTCTTCTAAAGTTAAAGTTAATGTTCACAGTCTCATTTAGGAGCTTTATACTTCCTATAGAAACATTTGTGACACGTGGGTTTCAGACTCTAATCAGCACCGATGACAGTCAGGACTGTTTATAATGCATCGCTTTCATAAACACAAAATGAGCAGTCAATATCTTGGCCCGGAGCCTTCCTAGAAACAGGTTTTGTCCAGGGATCTCAGTGTGGATCGCCGAAGCTGAAAACAGGTGAGTAGCTGGTGTCCACAACGTGCAACAGTACCATGAGAGAGCAGACATAAGGCGACGTCAGATGAGCAGAGACTCCAAAACCATGAGAACACACGAGGGAAGCCATCACACCTGTGTGGAGCCGACTGTAGGCAGGGTGGCTCCGACAAAAAGTCAAACAACCAGCGGTGAAGCTGAGTGGATTCCACGCTGCACACAAAGGCTGAATGAGCAGCCACACGGCGAGGTAATCTACAGCACAGGAAACCTCAGGCAGCAGGACAGGTAAACTCACTACAGTCTCTCCACACAGCCTTGGAGAACAGGCGAACAGACACCAGGAAGGAAGAGGCAGAGCTCTTGGTCGAGAAAGGCTGAGTGGTTCACCGGGGAGCAGACGAAGCAGGAGAGTGAGAGGCAGACGAGGCCGGTGATGAGGAAGCTGTCTGGGGATCAGCCCTAGAAAGGCTTGCATGGATATTGCAAAGAACAATCTGGCAACAAGAGTCCGTGATGCTGGAGTCTTTATAGTGGCAGAGAGTAATGAGCCACAGGTGAGAGCAGGTGGCTTGATGAGGTGGGTGTGGTGGACCGGCAGGAGCGGGAGATGTGTGGACAGGTGATAGGCTGACAGGTAGGTGTGGTGGAGAGGCGGGTGAGTGAGAGAAAGGCATGTATGGCAGGTCAGAAGTGCCCACTGTGACAGTATTAAGTCAACAAAGTCTAAAAATAAAAAGCCAACATTGACTCAGACGGTACGCAGACCCCAGTCTCCTGCCATCATCAGGTCAAAATCTAAATTTGTCCAAAACCTTGGTTTATGACTAAATACCTGAAAATCATTGCGTTGAATGTTTGTAAAATGTAATTATAATCTCTGCAATAGTCAATGAGACGTTTACTAAAAACGTACTGTAGTACTAATCCTACTAGTACTAAGCCTAAAAGAGCCAACAGTGTCTCCTGATGTGGACGAACAAACGTGATACAGCAGATATATTGTGATGTCCCACAGACTTTATGCATCGATCCTCCTCATGTGTGAAGCTTTGTGTGGTTGCCTCTCTACACCAGGAATAAAATCTTTTAAAATAACTCGGTGCCAAACCGAGGCATGTTGGCACAACATGAAGGCAGTGAAAATAAATCAGATAAACCCAGAATAACAGCAGATATTTGGCATTTCCTCGGCTGCAGAGAAGGACATATGTACTTTATAAAAACTGACCGAGCGCTCGTATTTATCCAGCAAATCTGACGCCTTTGTGCCTGAGCTGTTTAAGATTCAACAGATTAGAGAGACAAACCAATAAACTGCAACACAACGAGAGGATTACTGTGTGTGTGATGTCTCATGATGTGATGTGAATTATTTTATGTGAAAAATGACTTCAGGAAACAAAACAGTTTCACATCAATCTTCTATCAGTCCACTAATTGAATGATCAACTGGGTCTCACTCCCAAACTGTCAAGGGTGGACGGATCAAACACACTCTGAACTTTTACCCAGGAGCCTGCAGTGTGTGTCCATCCCTTGGTCAGTGGCCCTCAGCATCAGACACTGATGCTACAAGGAACCCTTTAGCAGCAGTACGAGACACACTGGGCGGCAAACAGAACAAACAGAATCAGTCACTGTGACAAGTGCAGATTATTACATCTGAGCTGTTGACCCACAGTGCCCGTTCCCAGTGTGCAGGTCAGCTACAGCATCACCACAGAGAGAGTTGTGTATAAGAATAGGACTGTGTGTCGGTGTTGCTCTGCAGCTGTCAGAGATGTGAATGGAAACACATCCAACATACACTTACATCACCCAGATGTGCCGATCACCAGGATGAGGAAGAAAACAAACCGGAGTTCAGCTCCTTGTCCGCGCTGCTTTCAGACAGCCTTAGGACGTAAAAGCTGAACAGGATACGATGTAGGTGTATTAATGGAAACTCACCAACACTCTTCCTTAATGTAGCGTGTGATGACATGACAACACACAAAAACCTCCAGATGATAATTTTCTGATACTACGATACGTACTGGCGGAGGTGGAGCGGTGTGGATGAATGAAAAATGAAAACAATAGTTTATTCCAGGTGGTAACGTGTTACATGACATTGTGAATGTAATAATATTACCTGAAATCCTGTTGGCCATTTGTTACAGCTAAAACATCATATATTAGCCCAACACTGGTTATTAACAAAGTACTTATTCTAAGACAAACTACAATATTTTTTTAAACCAAACCACCTGCTTTTGTTGCTGAAACCTGAGGAAGAAAACCTAAAAACAAAGTGTTGTTACCAACGTTCTAAAAAGAGTGTATGACGAGCAGAAACTGTACATTTCCTGTGAAAATAGTTTATTTTGAAAAGACAAAATGCATGTAACAAGCTTAAAGCGTTGGTATTTTTACAAATCAGGAGTGAGAATGAGCTGCATTAATGTGAACCATTAACTAATGTTTTCATCTGGACTTGTTTAAACTGTTGGAGAATTTAATTCCTAACAAAACACCGGATTCTATGAACTCTTCATGTGGTTTTGTGTAACAATCTTCATTTGTGAAGTAACTACAGCCGTCAGATAAGGTAGAAAGTATCATATAAAGAAAATACTCAAGTACAAGAACCTCAGACTTGTACTTACATAAAGTACAAACAGAGCAGTACAAAGAGTAAACGTACTTAGTGGATGTGTTGAGGATGCGTTGAAGCGCGAGCCGACAGTTTGACAGTTTGATTATTTGTGAAACAGAGGAGCAGACGTGTTGTTTTCAGCTTGTTGTGAATTCTCTGTAAAACTTCTGAAAATGATCAATAAATAAAATAAAATCTTTTCCTCTACACAAACATTGAAATCCATCAGCTCTGTTGAAACCACAGAGGTTCCCACATGTCCTCTCCTCCTCCTCCTCCTCCTCCTCCTCCTCTTCCTCCTCCTCTCCATCTCAACACCAACGAAAAATAATCTGCCATCGACTCCTGGACCTCCTGGAAGGAGGAGAGCTCCCCGCAGAGGCTTAAAAACAAAGCAGGTCTGCTTTAAGGGGAGGTCAATGTCTTAAACCCCCCATCCTCTCCTCAAACCCCCCGAGGGCGGCGGAACAAGAGGTGGAGCAGATCCTCAGTTTCATATTTCAGCCTCCTGTTCAACTCACGGCTCGTCAGTTTCATTTACAGGAGCAGCAGCAGCTCCAGCTGACAAAGCTCAGAGACTTTCATGTCATGAAAGTTATTGTAACAGCTGTGTTGACTTCCATCACTCGAGCCGGGCTCAGCCTCAGCACATCCCATACCTCTGACTCACAGAACAGAGTGATCAATCAACCAAGGTGACAGAAACAAGGGCTGTGTCTAACAATCACTTTCTCCATGAATCATTCAGTCTCTGAAATGTCAGACAAGATAGTGACTGACAGCCCAAAACTTAAAAATATTCACTTTACAAAGATTAAAAACATTGGAGATGCTGCAACTTGAGAGTTTGGTGATTTTGGTCAGTGACTCGACATATTTTGATTGATAGCTGATTGTCAAATTATCTTGTTACTGATCATCCTCAGATCACCTGATTAAGTAAGTGACTCATCATTTAAAACTGAAACTACAATCTTAAGTTTCATTAATCAAAACAAACATGAACATTTTAAAGAGAAAACTGGCCTCTGAATCATTTTTGCGGATCTGCAATTTAAAATTGTTTAATTTTCTAAATCAAAGATACAAATCAGTTTTCTCATGGGTCCATGAATAAGTCACATTTTTAAATGTTGTCATACCAACTGCCCCGGGGCCTCCTACCAGTTGGACGTGCCCGGAGCACCTCTAACAGGAAGCGCCCAGGAGGATCCTGATCGGATGCCTGAATCACCTCAACTGACCCCTTACCACACGAAGAAGCAGCAGCTTTACTTCGGATGTCTGACTCCTCTCCCTATCTCTAAGGCTGAGCCCAGACACCCCTCAGAGGAAACTCATTATGGCCACTTCCACTATATGCGATCTCATTCTTTCAGTCACTACCCAGAGCTCATGACCGTAGGTGAGGGTTGGGACTGAGATGGACCAGGAAATCAAAAACTATGACTTGCAACTCAGCTCCCTCTGAACCACGACGATCCGGCCCAACACCTGCATCACTAGGGATGTTGCACCAAACCTCGATCCATCTCACGCTTCATTCTACCCTCACTGTGAACAAGACTCTGAGATACTTGAGCTCCTTCTTTTGGGGCAGTACCTCACTCCCAGCCCAGAGGGAACATCCACCGGGTGTTAACTGTTAGCATTAAAAGCCAAAATCCAAAGACCGCATTAATGTAATCAAAGTGGAGAACTGAACGTTTACGTGTTATAAGCAGATTCTGCAGTTTCCATTGTAGAATCTGTCGGCAGCCCTGTGTGAAAGATGATTGGGGGGGGGCTTTGAGTTTGAACGATGCTGCGCTTTAGCCAATCACAATGGAGGGGGCGTGGCCGAGACGTGCAGGTGTCCCCAGGAAATGTGCACCTACAAAATCAGCAAGCTCCACGTCCATAGAGACCGCTCCACCCAAAACGCTGTCTCATCAATGTGAAAACAAATATTTTTCTGGCAGATGTCTTAGTTACAACATGATTGAGCTAACTGCAGTAGTTTCA